GTGTGTGTGTGTGTGTGTGTGTGTGTGTGTGTGTGTGTGTGTGTGTGAGAGAGAGAGAGAGAGAGAGAGAGAGAGAGAGAGAGAGAGAGTCTTGTTATATAGTCTAGGCTGGCTTTGAACTTAAAATCCTCCTTTGTCAGCCACATAAGAGCAATGTTAAAGGCATATTTTGTTATACCCACAAATCCTGGATCTTCATGTAAAAAAAAACAAAATCAAACATCATAAGCAAAATGTAAGACTGTTTCAACTTACAAATTAAAATAAGAGAAAACACTAACAAAGACTACACTTTCTCTTCAGGACCCCACTGAATATTTTTAAATTGTCTATATATTGAACCAAAGGCAGTACAAACCACATTCTCAAATCATAATAACGTAATACTGGAAATTAATTCCAAACCTGAAATATGAAAATGTATAGTATGTAGAAAGCAAACAGGAAAACTTTTGCATTTTGGCTAAAGAGGAAATCTGTAACTGAGAACATCTAGAAATCATCCGAAGCCAGAGGATATGCTTCACTAAAGTGGTAGCTCAAGGAAAGTTTACAGCTCTCAACACACTATAAGATGACCTGGGAACACACAGCTCTAAATGGGATGTCTCCATCAAATCCCTCCCCTCAGATCTCAGGGAATCTTGTGGAAGAGGAGTCAGAAAGCGTGTAAGAGCCAGAAGGAATGGAGGACACCAGGAGAACACGGTCCACTATATCAACATGATCAAAGCTTATATTAACTTACAGAGACTGAAACAGCAACCACAGGGCCTGCACGGGTCTGCACCAGGGCCTCTGTGTATAAATTATGGCTTTCAGTTAGTTTAGTGTTTTTATGGGACTCCTGACTTATTCTGACTCTTGTGCCTTCTCTTGGGCTTTTTCCTTCTGTTGGTTTGTCTTGTTCAACTTCTATGTGATAGTTTTTTACTTTTTCTTAGTATATTTTATTTTGTCATGTTTTGCTTTTATCACTTAGATTCCTGTTCTTTTCTAATGAGAAACAGAAAAGGAGTGAATCCAGAGGGGAGGAGAAGTGGGGAGGAACCTGGAGGAGCAGAGGGAAGGGAAACTATAATCAGAACATACTGTGTGAGAGAAGAACCTATTTTCAGTAAAAGGGGAAAAAAATAACACCAAAGTAAAATAAATGAATTAAGTACTCAGTCAACAAACTCTTTAAAAAAGATCCAAAATTAATCCAAACAAAGAAGGAAAGTATTTTAAAAATAGCCAAAATGAATAGAGTAGAAAACAAATTATATAACTAATAATGAAAGATAAAAACGAAGGGGTTTATGAAAGGGTTTGGGAGAAAAAGGAAGGGAAAATTATATAATTATATTAAAATCTCAAAAACAAAAGAAATTAAACTTTAAAAAGAAAAATGAAATAGTAAAATTGACAAATGATTTACTAATCAGATAGAATACTCCCGATTGTTTTATATTGCTAATAGACGAGATAAACATTTCTCATACTTTATAGCCTTAAGTCATGAATCAAAAGTAAATTATAGAATTTCAAACAGAGAAATAAGTATATATGCACAATGGATGAAAACAGTAAGAAAACCTTTTGATATAACCATTTGGAAAACTTTGGGCAATTTTCTGAGAAACCACCAACTGCCAATATTGACTGATTGGAAAAGAAACTATAGCTATCATAGGGAAACTCAAAGTAATTAACCAAAAGCACACAAATCACAGTTTTGTGTTGTTATGCCAACCTTTAACGAACATACAATACTAATAAAATATACACTTTCAAGACTCTGAAATCTAGGGAAGACAGAAGGGATTTAATTCCAATGAGTAGGGGACATAGAAACAAACAGTAGAGACAAGTTTTTTCTAAGAATGTATATACAAAGACTTAAAGTACTAGTGAAAATAATCTAGAAGGATGTTAAAAAATACTACACCATAAACATGCAAGCTCATCTTCGAAATTAAAATCTCATTTTAGTATTGGAAATTCTATTCATATAATTGACAATACCAAT